TTTGGCCTGACCTGATCTTTTAGAAATTGCATGAGAATGTTAATTCTTCTGATTGCTGAATTTAGGATGCCTCTTTACATGTCACTCACAAGGGCAGAGGCCTCATACCCCTGACCCTCAGGCTCTGCTTTTGCCCAGCCCCTCAAGTGCACAGCCCCTTGTCCTGTGACAGGCCAGCCAAGATGTGGTGCAGGGAAGATCCTGGACTCAGGATCCAGCTGGGGGGACCTGGCCCTGCTTCCAGGGTGCCCTGGGCCAGCTGCCTATTTCCCCTCTCCCAAGTCGGAGCTGTCTGGGTCCTACAGCCACATTCTTGCAACATTCCTCTCTCAGGCCTGCTGGGACCTGCCACTCTCAGGTCCTCAGAGGCACATGCTTGCATTCTGCTCCTGCACCCCTTCCTTCCATCTCCCTGCCCCCTGACCTGAGCTCCTCTTCCCGGGGTCAGGGGTGGAGCCCAGATGTATTTTCCAGTGCTCAGCCCCACTGCGTTTGGACATCGCTGGCTGATCACCCCAAGGTTCAGCTGAGCTTGCTGAGGATAAGAGGGGCTGGTTCTGCCTCTGCTTCCTCATCTGTGAAATGGGGATTGCCCCCCCATAGGCTTGAGGTAGCATGTAAGTGAAGTAAGGTGACAGGTGCCATGCAAATGAGACAGTGTCAGGAAGACTTCTGCAGGCTCCACCTGGAGAGAACAGACCACTATGCTAATAAAGCCTGTTCCCTGGCCTTGGATTGAATCCCAGAAAATGAGTGCCAGTGGCCAAGGAAAAATCCTCTCTCTAGATAGGATTTCCCCCACTTCCATCCCAGCAAGTTACTTCAAGCTGGGTCCTGGGACCAACTGAATAACAAATGCCACAGAAATTTATGACAGGTGTCACCAGGAAAGGTGCCAGTGTGCATAACAAATCAGAACCATCCCCTGGCAGTTATTGGAGCAGATGGGGCCTCTTATAGAACTGGATGCAAAAGAGGCCCTGCAGGGCTAAGCAAATTGCTGAACCCCCTTCGCTGGTATGCGCTTATTTCCCCTGAGCCAGCCACGCAGGACCCCGTGGTCTCCTGACAGCAAGAGAAAGTACAGGACCCGCTCTCTCCAGGGGGCTGTCCGTGTGCTGGGGTCACAGGCCGGTGTGTGGGGCACAGAGTTCTCTGCATCTTCCACCCCATCTGACGCTCTGTGAACACAGGGAGCCAAGGAGCAGCCTGTGCTCCAGGCCTGGTGCACCGCAAGGGCTCCACAGCTGGGCAGTGGCGGGCGAAGCCCGGTCTCTCCTCCGCACTGCTGACCCTCTGCCCTCCACTCTAAGGCCACCTTCCCTTCCGAGGTACAGGGAAGCCCTTCAAGGCTTTTGAATTTATTATTTTTTAATAAACGTTATATTTTGAGGGCAGTTTTAGGGGTTTTTTGTTTTTGTTTTTTGGTTTTTGGGTTTTTTTGGTGGAACTGGGAAATTGAACCTAGGTCCTTGCACTTGCCAGGTAAACGCTTGTCCTACTGAGCCATCTCCCCAGGCCCTTGAGGGCAGTTTTAAGCATGCAAAGAAACTGCACACCAACTGTAGGCCTCATATACACACAACCTCTCCACAGCATCAGTGTCCCCGTCATTAATAACTTGCATTGCTCTGCTACATTTATGGTTGGTGACCTGTTCTGACACAGTGCCACCAACACTATGGCAGTTAAAGTTTCCTCATTCCATGGGTTTTGGCAAGTACCCGGAATCGTATACCATTACATGTCCTGCATGGTCTTTAAGCCCACTGCTAGGATTTAAAAAATGGGGAGATAGCTCAGCGGCACAGCACCTGCCTGGCAAGTGCGAGGTCCTAAGTCTTATTCGTGGTACCAAAAA